AGATTTATCAAAATTTTAGGAGGCAAGAAACATACTTGGCAAATAGCATTGCTCTGACTATGAAAGTAGTTTTGGCTTACTTCCTTATGTACATAAGGAAGGATGCTTGACCTAACTGCAGTGCAGCTCACCATCACTACAGTCAGAAGAGAGCAAAGCTTGCAATACCGAAGCTCATTGAATCACACTGATGCCAATAGCAATTAAGCCAACAACAAATCACATTATCTATCACATCATGGCTTGTACTGATTATTTTCTACAGCTGTCCATGTTTTCGATGTGAGATTTCAATACGGGCATTGCATTGGGTTTAAAAACATAACTGCAAATGCACAATCCATTAGTGTTACATAGGAAAAGCAGATGTTGGGGGAGGGAGCTGCTGCTCTTTGTATATATTCCACAAAGATTGGGTGGATAATGAATTAAATAATAATTGCTAAATGAAGACAAACATGTGTAAAAGGTGCAAATTTCAAAATATGGGATAATTGTGGGCTGGTTTGTTGCATTTGCATGACTGATACTTTATTTTTCCCTTTCATTTAAATGTATCACAACTATAGCTGCTCTGAAGGGTGGGGTATAAATACAGTAAATAAATTAATAGATAAATAATTTAAGGGTGCAAGTGAATAGGTCTGAAGACATAATACTTTTTTATATCCTGGAAGTCAAACCTTGTAGAAGTACCACTACTTCAAGTAGTTCCCTCTCCAGACTATGTCCAGGCTAAGGCCATTACCTTAAGGAGTAGAAAGTGTAAGCCTTTCCCACATGTTTCTAGAGTAAGGGTGGGAAATGGTTCACTCTCGAACAACATGCGACCTCAAAGTTGTTGCTTTCCACTTTCAACCATCAAACTTCTTGGACTGTTTTCTCTGACCAAAAAATAAAGGAGGGGTGGACCGTCTCTCCTAAAATGTACTAGAAGCAGCAATTCCTATTTTACATAGATTGCGGTAGACATCTGCACTCTTTACCAAATAAACATGCTTTTTTTCTAAAACGAGGAGTGTGCTGCACACCTCTTCCAATTTGTTCTTGTTCTTCTTGATTTTGTTAGCATTTTGATAGCCTGTATAGCATCTAGAACAGGCACGAGCAAACACTGGCCCTCCAGATATTTTGGACTTCAACTCCAAGAAATCCCAGCCAGCTTATCAGCTGTTGGGAATTGTGGGAGTTGAAGTCCAAAACACCTGGAGGGCCGAAGTTTGCCCATGCCTGCCCTAGAGGACACTAATGGGCAGAAAATTGTCCTGTCACACCTTCACAGTTAACAGTCACTATTCTAAAGTGTGTTCTAAAGCAGGTCCTAAAGTGTGTTCAAGAAACACTAGTTTGATTCTATTTGTCTCATTAACTAATCTTTACCCAGCCACTCCATAAGCACCATCACAGCCACCAGTTCATGCATGACAAGTCAGGAGAATTGAGATGGAAGTTTTTCTGTATGCGGAGATGTACAATGAATTGCTCTCAGGCGGGCTTCTCAGCTTGATCTGACCTTAGCTGTTGCCTCGGGTTCACTGCCCTTTCTACTGACACTGTGTCCTCAGCTCTATCTCGAAGGCTGCCTTTGGGGTTTCCCCTGCCACATGTGTCATTCACCGGCAGTCTTCCTAAATGATTTCAGCTTTGCCTTGAACCTTCCTCCAGCATTCACTTTGGTTTTCAGACTTTCTCCAGCCTCCTCTGGCTTTCACTCTCTTCAGTAACTACTCTCTATTGACATTTTCTTTCTTCATCAGCTGCTCTGTGCTGCCTACTAACTGACCGACTTCTGTGAACAGAATTAGGTTTTTCTATACTCTCCAGCCAGAAACTGCCGGTCAATCCTATCCAAAATCAAAGATCATCACACCATTATAGATTTTTAAAGCAAGAACAGGAGAAGATCACAAAACACCCACATTGCCACAATTCCGACAGTAACCATTTCATTTCCTTCTCTTCATATCTAAAGGTAGAAATACCTCCCTTACCAAAAACTCTAAAAGATCGGTTAACAAATCTTTACAAAATCGTCTTCTCTGATCCAGTTTCCCAGGTGATACTCTCTCAGACATTTTAAAACAATGCCAAACTATTTTACACACATATACCCTGTCTTCACATCCTCATCTTCTCCTTTTGCTTTAGTTTTAGTTCTCTGCAGGCTTTATGAAACGGCGAGGGACTCTGTGAAGGAGAGACCTTGCTGTGTGCAAGGCTCTCCTCACAGTTCAGAGCACTGGAAAAACAGGTCAGCTAAAAACTCTCAGAACGCCCTGGCCCGATGTTAAAAACGTTCTTCAAAAACCTGCCTGAAAAGAAAGGCTTTAGCCTGTCGCTAGAAGGATAGCAGGGAGGGGGCCATTCTGGATTCCCTGGGAAAAGGGAATTCATAGTTGAGGGACATTCCCACCAACCAAGCTTGTGATGGTAGTGAGACTGAGAAAAGCGCCAGAAAAATCTCATGGCCCGAGCAGGTTCATATAGGGCAGTGGTTTTCAACCTTCCTAATGCTGCAACCCCTTAATCCAGTTCCTCATGTTGTGGTGACCCCCAACCATAACCTTATTTTCATTGCTACTTCATAACTGTAATTTTGCTACTGTTATGAATCATAATGTAAATATCTGATATGTAGGATGTATTTTCATTCACTGGAACAAATTTGGCACAAATACCTAATACGCCCAAATTTGAATAGTGGTGGGGTTGGGGGGGGGGGGGGATTGATTTTGTCATTTGGGAGTTGTAGTTGTTGTGATTTATAGTTCACCTACAATCAAAGAGCATGCCGAACTTCACCAACGATGGAATTGAATCAAACTTGGCACACAAAACTCCCATGACCAACAGAAAATACTGGAAGRGTTTGGTGAGCATTGACCTTGAGCTTTGGAGTGGTAGTTCACCTACTTTCAGAGAGCACTGTGGACTCAAACAATGATGGATTGAACCAAACTTGGCATGAATATTCAATATGCCCAAATGTGAACACTGGTGGAGTTTGGGAAATATAGATCTTGACATTTGGGAGTTGTAGTTGCTGGGATTTATAGTTCACCTACAATCAAAGAGCATTCTAAACTCAGCCCACAGTGGATCTGCACCAAACTTGGCACACTACCTACATGGCCAGCACTGCATACTGGTAGAATTGGGGAAAGCTGTTTTTGAATTCTGGGAGTTGTAGTTCACCAACACTCAGAGAACCCTCTGTACCAAACTGGTGATGGAACTAATAAACTTCCCACACTGAACTTGTCTCAGAAGTAGCCCTCCCCTTGGCTGAGAGACCAGTTTAGAGGCTGGCCAATCACAGCGTAGGAGGGCTTTTGGTGGAAAATTCAGAATCTGTTTCCAAAAAGGAAGAGAAGGTTAGGTAGAGACATCTTCAGCCTTCTCTGCAAAGGGGCACCTAAGACCATCAGAAATATGTGTTTTCTGATAGTCTTTGGTGACCCCTCTGAACCCCCCTCACGACCCCCCCCCCTTTCAGGAGTCCCAATCCTCAGGTTGAGAAATGCTGATATAGGGAGATGCGATTTGTCAAACAGTCTGGAATGAAAGTGAGATTATGGTGCTATCATTGTGTAGTGTGAATGAGCCCCTAGTTGTTTGCTATGAGAAAAAGAAAGCTGGAACAATTCTCTGACTTTCATTTTTTTTAATCAGAACAGTAATTTCAATTCTTAGAGTTGCCAACACTGTATCCAATGCAACTATGATTTTGAACATAAATGTGTGGAATGAGCACAAGGTAGCATTTTCCTCAATGTTAGAAAACCCTCAACTATCATTACTTCATTTCAAACCTCTGTTAGAAGTAGAGGAGTCCTGCTTCCTTAGCCTTGGACATTGGGTAATCCTAGTCCATTCTCATCCCCCAATCATCCATCTGGCAAACAACTGCATATTTTGTTATATATTTAAACTTAAGCTTCAGTTACATTTCCATCCCAAATTCTTATCTTACAAATCCATGCTTCATATAAGATATGAATGTCAGAATAGAATTTTCAGACTAGAAGTTTTATCATCTTTGAAACAGTAATATTATAGGTAAATGGCTTGAAAGTAAAGAATGGAAGACTATTATGCTTTATGATACCAGAATAGAACTGCAGTCCAAAGGTTTCTCTCACTATCATCTCACCCAAAAAGCCTCAATATCAGACATCACAACATAAGACCTAATGAGATATTCTCAATTTGTGGAGTTACTTTGAAATTTTGTTTCTGGCTCAAAATGGTTAGTAAAACTTGGTAACCTGATAACTCATTAAACTGTTTGCAACTTTTTTCAAGGTGCTGTCATTGTGAAATGTACTGCTTTGAAATTGGGTCCATCATTTTGAAACATCCTTGTATATGCCTTCCATGCTATTTGACTATTCCCAATTTTAGCTCCTGGTTTGGTTTACACTCTTGATTGCTACCAATTTAGCATCCACATTTGGTTTCCATGGGGATTTCTCCAGCATTTTATCCAACACCCTTTCCAGATCTACCAGAATTCACATCAATGTCTGTGTACTTGTATACTTGGCTACTGACAGCCTATTACAGAAAAATAAATAATCAGCCAGCAATGAGGTCATACAAAAGAAAACAGAACTAATGATGCCACCTCAGTTTTAGAAGAAGGCATATAAACAGCATTTGCTCCTGAAGTTGCAACTGAATCCGAAAGCTTCTAATTAACCATATAGTTTTCATTTTCATTACCACTTTTGGAACAAAAAATTAGCAATAAACCAAGTTCCAACCATGGTTTAATATTCCTCCTTGTTTCTAGAATGATAACATTATTGTCCTAGGATGGAACATGTATGACTACACAGTGAATATATCTTTTGCAATAATAGATTTCAAACTGCTAGAGCAGAATCTTTCCTCTAAATTCACCTTTTGATTAAAATATTTTCCCCAGAAACATAAACCACAACATTTTGAAAAGAAAAGGTATTGCTTTTATTAACATTCAGCAAGCATTTACTTACCAAGCTTCAGGAAGAAGGAAGGAGTATTCATGTGGAGAGGTTGTCTCTGGAAAATTAGAGAGAATTGCCAAGCGATGTGGAAGTAAGTCTGATCCATGGTAAGTAAACAAGATCTCCAGGGCTCCCACATTACTTTCCTACAAAAATAATTCAGTGTGGGATTTTGAAAACAGTTTATCCACCATTCTGTACAATAAATAGCCATATCCCCATACTATTGGATTGTGTCGTTTTATATAAAAATAGTACTCTGCAATCTGTTTATTTATGACAACTGATTTGGCAAATAGACCTCATTCCTGTTTTGGTAAAATGATACCTAAATTTCCCACCTGCACCACTAGTATGGCACTAGGTCTCTTCCAAGTTTGTGTTGTAGTACAAAACATAAAACTGTATTGAATGTACTGATCTGGTTTTATACAATTTCAGAAGATTATAAAAGCAGTGTTTGCATTAGCTACAGTCAGTGCCACCCGGAAAACACTTTTCAGTCAGACACTAAATCTACAATTATTCCTGTTTTTGGGAAAGAGGCTTACTAAACTCAGGGTGCATCCGCACTGTTGACACTGCTTTAGCAACCATAGTTCAGTGCTGTGAAGTCATGGGAATTGCAGCTTTACAAGATCTTTAGCTTTCTCTACCAAAGAGTGCTGACGCCTCACCAAACTACAAATTTCAAGTTTTCCCAATGAGCATACATGTGATTGACCTGTAATTGCATAAAGGAATGTAGTTGATCCAGTAAGTTCTGAAGAAACACTGTCCTGCATGAAATCCCTTAGTAGAAAATTTCAAAAGAAACAATACCCGGGCATATGTCCTCGCTGAAAGAACAATATTTTGATTTCGGAACTTCCTGAAGAATTCTGCATCATATCTCTGCTCAGCAGCATGTGGCCCACCAAGGATCTCCTAAGGGAGAGCAAAAATTGAAAAAAATATTTTCAAAACTCTTCATCAGGTAAGATGGTAAATATTTCCAGGGACACACAATCACCCAGAATGTTTCTAGGATAGTCTCCTCCCGTTCTGTTCAAGAGAGAACAAGTCAACTGCAGATATGAGGAAATACCGCAGATATGAAATCTTTTCCCCATGTTTTTCTTCTTGTGTGCCTTCAAATCATTTCTGACTTATGGCGACCCCAAGGTAAATTTATCATAGAGTTTTCTTGACAAAATTCATTCACAGGGGGTTACCTCTTCTGAGGCTAAGACAATGTGACCTGAGGTAATCTAGCGGAATTAGAACTGTGGTTTCCTGAGTTTGAGTCCAATACTCAAACCACTATATATTGCTCCCTTATACATACCAAAACTCTTTTGTGAGCTATCTTCAATTTTAACAACACCAAAGGTTGACTGCCATCTGGTAGTCTAAGTCCAGTTCTCTAAACAATTGGTCACTCCACAAAACTGAACAGAGATTGTGGGGAATTGAAGTCTCCAACCTATTTTTATCTCAGCTTTCACATATTTTCTCTCCCAGATGTATGTGCACACATACACACACAAACAAAACAGAAAAAATTAAATATTGGGAGCATTTTTAAAAACAGCATTTCAGGAAGAAGAAAGCAGGTTTTTGAAGGTTAAAAGGGAACAAGGGAGAGAATATATGCTAGAATGCAAATGATAAGGCAGAGACACAGCTGTTCAAACAATGGAAATGTGCTGCACTGCAACCATATTGTTTGCCTGCGTCATTGTTTACAGTAACTGAAATGCTTGAAAGGAATTTCAAATATGAAAATAAAATTATCAGGCTACAAAAAATCAAGAAATTATTACAGATCATAAGGAAAGAGCCAACAAATGAAATCCATGGTTTAATAGCTATCTTCCATACCTCATATGTTGCTAGACGGTCCAAATAGGTTAGGAGTTTCAACCTGCTGCGGCAAAGTTCTTTCTGTTCCAAAGTCAGTCTATTTTAACAAAAAGTGGGGAAGATGAGTATTTTTAAAAGACTGTACAAATAAATACATCACCAAGTAAAACATTTGGATGCTCTTTTCTTTAAGGAAAACATCTTCTGAAAAATATATACAGGCAGTCCCTGAATTACCAACATCTGACTTATATATGACTCCTAGTTAAAAACACCAGGAAGTGAGAGAAATCTACCCCTAGGAAGAGAAATTCACTCCCATAAGAGTTATCATGGGAAAAGGTATCTCCACTGAAGCTTTATCACCAGTTCTTGTTTCAACTGCAAACAACACTTGAGCCCAAATCACTGCTAACAAAAAGATTTATAGTTTTCCTCGGCAGAAGAAGACTCCTCCATTTTTTCTTGGAAAGTTACCTCTTCCTCCAGAGAGAGCCCTGGGAACTCGCTATCCCAGTGGCACTAGCATAGGGTTCCTCTCAGAGCATGATAGGAGTTGAAGTTTTTCTCTCTGTGTGTCTCCCAGCCAATAAAAAGCCTGGTGGTGTCCATGCTCTAATTGGCTGAGAATGGACACAACCAGTGGCTACAATTCCCAAACATTATGGTCAAAACTTAAAATAATTCTTTAAAAATCAGTGGATTTGTGAATTGTTTTGAAACTTGGCAGGCCTGCAGTTGTAAACGGGGACTACAAGTGAGGTAGATTTTATGCAGATAGGCCTTAAAATGGCTGAATATTGAGCCTTTAAAGTTTCCCATTGTAGCCTATGGGCCAAATCTCTGCCAAATGAAATGGAAAGCACCCCTTCCCTTTCAGGCAACTTTCTGGTAAACGAAGTGAGAGGCCAGACAAAAACAGACCCCAAAAATGGCATGCCTTTTAGCCCAAATGCACATGTCTACTACAAACCCAACATTTTCAAAATCCAAGTGTCACAGGGACAGAAAGTGAGGTAAAAACCTTTGAGCAGGGGCACAGAGAGCAAAACAAATATTACAGGAAAATGTATTGTCGAAGGCTTTCATGGTTGGAATCACTGGGCTGCTGTAGGTTTTCTGGGCTGTATGGCCATGTTCTAGAAGCATTCTCTCCTGACGTTTCGCCTGCATCTATGGCAGGCATCCTCAGAGGTTGTGAGGACCTCACAACCTCTGAGGATGCCTGCCATAGATGCAGGTGAAACGTCAGGAGAGAATGCTTCTAGAACATGGCCATACAGCCCAAAAAACCTACAACAACCCAGGGAAGTTAAACTTTCCCTTTGCTGTCCAAAATGGGGAAAAATGGCTGGAGTGACACTTAAAATGTAACTGTTACAACTTACATACAAATTAAGCTTAAGAACAAACTATAGACCTTATCTTGTTCATAACTCGGGCACTACCTGTATATATAGTGGTATCTGCTGGGGTTTGGTTTTAGAACTGTTCCCCCATATCCATGAGTGCTCAAGTCCTATTACATATATTGGCACAGTGAAATAAATGCTGTTTTTAATTCAAAAATGGGAAAATCAAGGTTTGCTTTCTGGATTTTTTAAAAAAATATATATTTTCTGGCTGTGAATGTTTTAATCTCTTGTTACAGTGGAGTAACTGTGTAATTCTAGTCCCAGTTCCAACCATGTATTCTACTGAGAAGATACTTATTTGCCCAAGCATCCAACAGGGATGAATACCTGAGAAATGCAGACTGAAGTAGATATCATTTCAATTGCATTAGATCCAAGCTTAGATGCTTGCGTGAATGCATTCCTCTACGGCAATCTGCTCAAAACAAGGGATCTGTCCAAATGAGATAAAGAACTGGACAGAAAGCACTGGGACATTTTAAATCCCAGTGCGATATGCCACAAGCTGGACCTCTTTCAAAGTGCACAGCAAGTTAAAAATTTATATCTTGAACCAATTAGAACTAAGATATATTAAATATATATATTCTTCCTTTGGGGACTATATGTGTCTAAGCCTAGCGATATAACAGAAGGACACTGAGCTTGGCATTTCATTTACTTGGAAAAGTCCACTGATTGAAGGAGTTCTTGATGTTTTATGGCCTCTCGCTCTCTCCTACTCTCTGCTTCTTCCTCGGGAGTTAAGAACTCTTCATAAAGTAGTTCGTCAATGTCTACATCACCTGGCAAGATAAACCTGGGAAAGGAAAACCCGGAGACAGAAAATAGGTTATCTAGTCAAAAAGAAAGCTTTCTGCATGGTGGTCTGCAACAACCATTCAAAAAAGTACCCAACCAAAGTGAAGGCTTTCATATGCATTTGTGACCCTTTTTAAAGAAGATAAACAATGATTTCCGTAAGTTACAGTTGAAGCAAGATCTTATAATATACAAATATTTTAGCACTTTAAACAGGTTTAGTTACACAGAAAAAAATTGAAAAAGAAAGTGTGTGTGTGTGACTGAGGGGGGTAAAAATGATTTACTCTAGTCAGCTATGGAAAAATTGCACCCTTAGCAGGTTGCATGCATATAGGTTGTCAGACTTGAAACTGGAGAGGACTCCTGTATATTTAATAGTCAGGTAAAAAAGATGTTGCTTCTAAATTGGCTGTGTGACAGACATTATCTGCTGTAATTCCCTCTTCTCCACAATTATTAAAGATACAGGTTTCCACCAGTTTTCATTCTGGAAACTAGAAATTAGATGCAGATTAACATGTCACTAAGACTCTCGTGTTATATTTAATATGAAGATAGCTCAATACATAAAATCATTTTACTCTATTAAACAGGTATTCTCAAGGAAGAATGGTTTTAGGCAGACATTCAACATTGTATGAACGAAGCAAACAAATCCCTTTCTTGTCCTCATGTTTCGTTTTTGTGATTTGTTGTTAAATTAACTTTGATGTATGGAAGTTCTGCGAATGAGAGACCTTCAAGACACCCAGACATCAACAGCCCTGCTAAGACTCTGCAAACCCTTATTGAACCAACCCATCTGTACAGCAGGTCTCCTCTTCTCCTACTAGAGTAGACTCTTGATGTCTAGTGTGGTTTGGTGCCACGACCCTTCATGGATATCAAATCCATAGAGGCTCAATTTTGTATACAACATTAGCAGACACTTTTTGGATTTCAATTTTTTTCAATTTTGGAATATCTGTATTTGCATATACATACATGCAACTACAACAACAACATTTTATTATGGTCCAAAGACCCTTAATGAAATATTATGGAGATGGGACACAAATCTAAACACACACAAATATCATTTGTTTCAAATACATATAGTCTGGAGGTCACTTTATATACAGTATTTTTAATAATTTTGTGCATGAAAGTTTGCATTCATCAAACTATCAGAAAGCAAATGTGTCATTAGTTCAGCCATCCAAATGAACTAATGTGGATGTTAGAATTCTGTATAAGGGATGCTCATCCTTCCACTACAGCCTGAACTGGAATATTCTTGCTTAGTTAGGTCTAGACTTTGACTTACTTGTCAAAGCTAACCACAGCTTGTTTCAAAGTTTTATTACATCTCATAAAATTTATCAATGTTACATGGATTCTGACACTGTTCTTTACACACTGGGAACAGCCATACTGAAAATCTATACTTCACACACTGGGAATAGTCATACTGAAAACCTATAGTTTCCACTAACTAGTAAATTCACTGTTTTGAAAGGTCACAAGTTTATCAAAGAGCAGAATGATATTTCAACTTTGCCTTCAAAAAACAAAACAAAACAATCTGGGTGTGATGCAATGTAAAAATACTGATAACAAAATTGGCTTTATATAACTTATTGTAATGCATTGCTTATTCAAAAACAGTCACTACATTTTCTTAAAAGCATAAACAATGCAACCCATTCCCACAAACCTGCCACCATCTTCTCCTTTCCCAATGGCTATGAGAGCTTCCAGGTCTGTCCCTTTCAGGCCATATTGCAGCAATTCTTTGGCAGCATCCACATTCTCAGGAACTCTTTCTAAGCATTCATGAAGAACCCAAGAACGTTTATTAATTTTGCTCTGTTAATTCCACCAGGGGGGAAAAAGAGAGAAAATAAAGACATTTATTAGAGCTGTCTATGAACTGACAAAGGAAGCTACCTTAGAGTCAGACCATTTGTCTAGGCTGGTATAATCACTATATGGTAGCATCTCACATGGACTTCTGCAGTGGGATCTAGTCAATCCTACAAACTATAAGCTTCTGATGAAAATGCAATGCATAAAATGCAAAGGCTTTGATCGAGACACAGACTCGAGAAGGAAACAGAAAAAGATTTTGGGGAATGTAACATAGCCCAACTAAATTCTCAACAATTCCTCTATCTCATTGCAAGTCCAAAATGTCCTATTCAAAAAGCTATTCAGGGGTGTTATTCAAGATTCAACTCCTAAGGAATTGATTTTAGGAGATAAATAAAAGGACTGACAGAGGAGAAAAGTCAAGAAAGTCCTTTGGAAAGCAGGAATTCTACTTGTCTCTAGGGACCCCCAAAAACATTACCTTGCCATAAGAAGACATACCAGGTAATCCTGAATAGAAGCAATGCTAACAGGAGATTTTCTCCACTGCCTCTGATACACAAGATCAGAATCAAGGTCATATGTTTGAGCTAGTGACAATGCTTCTCCATATTCTTCATTATCAATCTAAAAACAAAACATACAAAAATTGCAGTAAGCCACATGAGCAATGAAGGGAAAAGAAAAACTATATTTTTTGTTCATATTATAAAATGGTTTTAATCAAATAAACACCTAAGCAGTGGTCCCAAACTAAGGCCCGCAGGCCGGATGTGGCCCTCCAAGTCATTTACCCAGCCCCGTTCTAAACATCAGGGTTGCCCTATGTCTGAAACGACTTGAAGGACACAACAAAACAACCCTAATTAACTTGACTCTCTCATCAGCCAAAATCAGATTCACACTTCTAACTGAAATACTTTTTTTTTGTCGTGTCAGGAGCATCCTGTTGTGAGAGAATTGGCCGTCTGCAAGGACGTTGCCCAGGGGACGCCCAGATGATTTTGATGTTTTATCATCCTTGTGGGAGGCTTCTCTCATGTCCCCGCATGAGGAGCTGGAGCTGATAGAGGGAGCTCATCTGCCTCTCCCCGGATTCGAACCTGCGACCTGTCGGTCTTCAGTCCTGCCGGCACAGGGCTTTAACCCACTGCGCCACCGGGGGCTCCAACTGAAATACTAGTAAGTTTATGTTGTTTACAATTGTTCTTCATTTTAAATATTGCATTGTTCTTTCATGTTTTTGAAATACAAATAAAATATGTGCAGTTTGCTTTGGAATTCATCATTTTTTTACAAATTATAAGCTGGCCTCCCAACTGTCTGAAGGAACTTGAATCAACCCCTCTTCTTGAAAAGTTTGAGGACTCTTGAACTAAAGCACACTCCACCAGATATGTTTTCTAAGAATAAAACAATGGAAGCAACTTGAAGTATGAGATATTCAACATGCTGTCTGAAGGCCACATGCAGCTTGAAAAGATGTCCATCCCTTCAGCAATCTTCACTGTAAAACTTCAATAGCAAAATAGTAAAGACTCTTGAAATAAGCAACATAAACAATAAAATGGGCAGTAGGAATTTTCCCGGGACCCAGGGGTGCTGTGGGAGATTTCAGAGGGAAATATTGGCCTCAGACTCAATCTGTTATCAATGCGAGAGCATTGCTAACAGATTGCAAAGAAATGTACTGTATACATTAGTATTGGATAAAAAAGATGAGCCAAAGATTTAGAAGATTAGGCCATATACTTTTTTCTCTCAGAAACATATTGGAAGGAACATATCCAAAGCAGAGTAACACTGGCTGAAAAATTATGACCATCAAATCCATTCCTCAAGAGGCACCAGAGCCTCAAATTTCTGTACCCAAAGACCCGAGAAAACATTTTTGCATGCCCCAAAAATGTATAATCAAAATTCTGATGGTAACATAGCTATACACTCAACTGGTACAATTCCAAGTACAGTAAATTTCACTACTGAATAGTGTAAAATAGAAGAATTGTATATTTGTTTTTTCTAATAAAAGTCTGAGGGATGTAGCATTTTTCTACATTATAGGAATAATGCTTTTAGTGAATGTAATATTTATATGTTGTTGTGCCATTATTTATATGTTGTTGGCCAAAATTGCTGCTTATGGCAGGTTGTCTTAAAAAGAAATGATTTGGGAAGTTTTTCCTAAGTTATCAATTATTTCCTCTTTTCTTTGATTTGGTGATTCGATTTATAGTCCACACCTAAAATATGCAATAGCAAGTGGTCACGCCACAAAATTTTCATGCAGATTGAATACCCCTTATCCAGAAATGTTTGGGATCAGAAGTGTTCTGGATTTCAGATTTTGTTTAGATTTTAGGATACCTGCAATTGCATATATTTATACAACTTATTTTTGTTTCACAGGCAGTCACCAAATTACAAACAAATTCAGCTCCACAGGCCTGTTCCTTAGTCGAATTTAAGTCATAACAGATACACGTTAAGTGTAACTCCAGACAAAAAAATCTATATTTGATATTTGTATAGCATAGGGAAGGGTTAAAACCCATGTACTGCTTGTTTTACTGTCTGTGCCCCTGATCAGAAGATGTCACTTCACTTCCTGCCCCTGTAATCATTGGATTTTGAAATAAATGTTACTTTTGTTGTGGAAACAAGGATTGGTGAAAAAGTTTCAGCTGAGACATCTTTTTCCCATAACTCTTTAAGTAATCCATTTCCCTTCTGTGGGGTAGATTTCTCTCACTTCCTGTTGTCTCACCCCCATTCTTAACTAGGAGTCGTTTGTAAGTCAGATATTTGCAACTTGGGGACTTCCACCGGTACACACAGGCTAAAGGCAATTTTATATAGTATAATATTTTAATAGTTTTGTGCATGACACAAAGTTTAAGTACATTGAACCAACAGAAAACAAAGATGGTATCATCTCATCCACACATATGGGCCATTTCTGATTTTGGAATAGATTTGTTTTTGGGGTTTTTTTTAATCTGTTATTATTGTTATTTCTTAATACATTTTCATCACATTATTTACACTTATTTATTTTGGAAAATGTGAATCTCCATAACCATTTGGGAAATGGGATTCATAACCTTTTTGCAAAAACCACTGATCAAAGGAAATACATGACCTTGTTAGAAGTCACAACCTTTTGAAAAATGATGTTCACCAGCATTCATACAAGGCAACTAGGTCTCTCAGCTGTTAAACTGGTGGACCTTGGTATGTCTTTAAACTGTTAGGGACAAAGACATGCCAATGCACAAAAAAATATATTCAGCAGAGTTTTTTTAGAAGTGTTATTTGAAGTTGCCCAAAAACAACAATTTCAGTTAGGTGAGGATATTCATAAACCTTTTGTATAAACATCTGTAAATTCTATAGTAAGTGTTTACACATATTTTGATTTGGTGCAATCACATCTAGGATATTTTGTATCCAGCATTCCTAGGAGTTATTCATTTATTTTGTTTATATCTTTTTTATATTTTAAACTTAAACAGATTTCAGAATAATTCAGATTCTAGATAATGGATAATCAGCTTATGGCAGTGGTTACACAAACCTAAGAGAAGGACTTGTTTATTCTGGAAATGTTTTACATTAAGGAAAGGCAACAAAACACCTGCAGATTTGTTGGATGAGGAAAAAGAATCATGAGAAAGAGCAACTAAAGGATCTCACTGTCCTAAACCTAAAATACTACTGAAGGTTCTACTACTCCTCATGGTACATGATCTAGAATTCACTTTTTTTGTAAACATGGAATGTATTGCAAATATTAATTGGTTAACACAACCACCCATATCCTGAACATATTTGTCTGGAAGGCCCTTTAAATCAATGCAGTCCAAATCTAAAACTAAAAAAGTTGAGACACAGAAGCTGGTTAACATAACAAAAAAAGTGTTACATTATATGCAATAAATGAATCTTTTTCAAGTAATGTTTATATATAAAAGGAGAGGGGAGCACATATTTTACTCTCACCTTTCTCTGGTATAACTCCTCTGGGGTTGTGGACCTCAGTTTCACAAGGTGGTAATTTTTTACTATTGTGCGTGGTCGTTTCCTCGGAGGAGCAAACCTCTCCATTTCAGTCACAAAATACAGGCCTTGTTTAATATACCCAAAGTATCGAGCCTTGGCCGAGGCTTCATCATCTGAATCAGAGTCATCATCCCCTTCATCTTCATCTCCAGGTCTGCTATCCAAGCGCAATCTCTTTGGAGCGAACTTCACCTCGCACTACAAGAAAACCAATTCTTACCAAAGAGCATAATGTATCACACTTAGATCTGTCAGCACTCTATTGGATGCAAAGCCTCTACAATTCGCAATGCTGTTGGGAATTCAAAAGCAGCACCAGAAAATAAATTTCCTCTCAAACTATCACCAGCAGCCATGTTATTATGCTGGATGGACTATTAGTGCCCTCCCACCTGTAGATACCCGGTGCATTCATAAGGACTAGAACGTGCTTAATGTGAATATTTCTTAAGAGTACCTTAAAAGCATGGGATTCAAAAACCTCAGCCCTAGGGAACTTAATCCACCAACAGTTTAGAACAGCTGATCCCCACATGAGTGCAATCAATAGATTATTATTCAGGACTCCTTAAAAGAAGTCACTAGGGTTTTTTTTGCTACAGCTATATTATCTTTAGGATTATATGGAGGGAAATGACAATTTAATGGCTAACATTCATACAGTAAACATGTCTTTTAAAAAACTATTTAGAGCAGACTTTCAGAGGAAGATGCCACTGCTCACTAAATGACTTCTTTAAGACATCATTTCCTAAATCACCAAGAAAAGAACATTAATACTGCGGGTTCTTGTATGTAAACCTCCTATGCAAAAAGTGTTGAATTTCATGACTTCTGCTTTATAGTTTGTGAATGTTCCTTTAGTAAAGCATCTATCTGAGGTATCCAGCACCTCATCTAAGTTGAGTGTGTCTTTAAAGTTGAAGTTCTACCTAAAAGGCTATTGAAAGAATGGCAAAAGGAATTATACTGCACATCTTAAATATAACCGAAGTCTCAATAACTCCAGTGGGGAGAGGGGACAATAACGGTTATATTCTGATGGAGGAAGTGACAACCATGAACATTTATTATTCATATTCTCTGAAGTGCTGAGTTGAAGAAAATAATTAAGTATCAGGAATCCATGAGAAACCGTCAGATCAAATGGAAGTAGGGAGAGGCATTATAGATCCCTGAAATGACCTGCAATGTAGTCATGCTCCACTTCTGCAGACATCCATTCTTAATTCATTTAATCATTTAAACTAGAGTATTTCAGCTGATTCCCACAACAAGACACACTCCCTGCCTAGCAATTCAGCAACCAAGTAAGATCAGAAGCTTTCATTTACATTTTTGCATTATTTCATTTTATCCAAGATGGGCAAACTGTGTTTGTTTCAACAAGCTCACATCACTCCAAAGACCGAAACTTGCTGTTTCAAAAAGCTTAATGAACTAGGTTGCTATGAGTTTTCCGGGTTGTATGGCCATGTTCCACAAGCATACTCTCCTGACGTTTCACCTACGTCTATGGCAGGCATCCTCAGAGGTTGTGAGGTCTGCTAGAAACTAGGCAAGGGAGGTTTATATATCTATGGAATGTCCAGGGTGGGAGAAAGAACTCTTGCCTGCTTGAGGCAAGTGTGGATGTTACAACTGGCCACCTTGATTAGCACTGAATGGCCTTGCAGCTTCAAAGACTGGCTGGTTGCTGTCTGGGGGGAGCCTTTGTTCGGAGATGTTAGCTGGCCCTGATTGATTCTTGTCTGGAATTTTGAGTGTTGCTCTTTATTTACTGTCCTGATTTTAGCTTAATGAACAATTACAACATTTCAGCATTCAAACAGCATTCTGTTTTCTTTCTGGCAGCTGGATCAGGAAAGGGGAAGACACTGGCCAGGAGCTCATTGAAGCTTTTTTTCTGCCACAACAAACCACAGTATATCAAGAAATCTGAACTGGCCCATTCTTAAATGCCCACCCCTTCCCCAGGAAAAGAAGTCTAATTTTTTTCTTTGTTTTTAAAGAGGTTGGGAGTTAGATGTTTCCAACACATTAAGGGCCAATACTTCTCACACAAATAACAATATTTATTTGATTTTGCATGTGCTTCTTACTTCCAGACTCAGAAATCCTCCATCATGAGCAGAAGTGACCTGAGGGGAACTTTCAAACCATTCGCAAGATTTCCCTAAGAGGTTTTTCAAGGTCTTTACTGATGAGACTGTCAAAGCACCGGAACAGCGAGCCAGGATGACAGCATTCTCTGCCCACCAATTTACGTCGATCAATGGATAAAGAGATTCCTTGTCTAAAAGAAGGGCAAGGAGGGATAATGGTTTCAAGTATTAGAAAAAGAACTTGTGCAACTTTCAATTATTCAAGAAGAAACCATTCAGAAGACTACCTTTATATGATGCTGATATATTGTTAACGTCTCACTTCACCACATTTTAATAGTAGCCTTTTAATTGCAGTCATCCCTAGATTAACTAAAGCAGAACTGAATAATTAATTATTCTGACAGTCCTTTTATGCAATGTTTTTAAAATAAAGCATATTAGACATACCTGCTCACAAAAAAAGAGGGTGGAAAATTAAAAATTTATAGACCTTATCATTGCTCATGCCTACTGTGAGACTGTCTCTCTGGGATATGCTCAGAACATTACTTATGGAATCCAGATGACGCTATTATCAATGCCAACCAGCTGAGAAACATGGCAAGACTTTGAAAGATAAATATTTACATGTCTTCTCCCCAAAGGAAGTGTGGTCTCAGATAAGTGACCACATCTCATCCACAGTGTCATTCCTTCTAATGGAAAAGTCAGACTGTTGAATAGCTACCAGCCATAAAGTATAATGGAACACCCAATGGAAGAAACTGGGAGTTTACCAAATCTGAAGGCTAATCTATCTAAATTGTGCTGGGGCAGGATGACTAAATAAGACATGCACAACTTGGTCCCTAGCAGGTGCTTAGGACTGAAATGCAGTGTTGAATGTGGGTGCTGAGATATACTCCAAAACATCCAAAGGTTTAGAAATTGGTCTAAAGCAACCAGGAGCAGTACAATGCTTCTGTGCCAAACTATTTGATGCTATGTACAAAGAAAAAGCAACACCTTACAGAAGGTCCCACATGTTCCAAAAATAAGCTGCTTCACAAAACAGGATGTTATAAAAAATGTATGACTTAGTTTTGGTATGTCAAAAAACACACAAAAATACACATAAGAGCATAAGAAGCTGCCCTATTGGGAATCAAACAATTGCCCATCTGCCCCATATTTTTGGTAATACTGTAGTATACACTGGGGTAGCACTTAAATAACACTGAACACTTGAAAAAGAATGTATTATATTGTCAACATGGGCCAATAGCAATTATGACATGTGACGTTTTAATATTGTACTTCATATACCTATAACACATTAACAGATAGTGCTAGGTTTTTAAAAAACGTCCTTTCTTTCCCTCTCTCTCTCAAACACATAGACACATGGCTCATAAGTAGATGGTTACACAAACCTTTAATTTTTTTCCTCTTTTCAAGAGAGAGCCTCCATTCTGGCTTGATTTCATCATAACCTGGCTACAAAAAACAAACACACCATACATTTGTAATCACATAAGTGAGATGTCTCTCTCTTCAAATGCCATGCTGCTCTTGTGTGCTGCTCTTGTGTGTGATGAAGTAAAACAATCTCAAAAGCAACTTGTGACAGAATGAAATTGAAAAGCTTATGCTTCAGCTGCATTCAGACACAGTACTAAGCCATAGTTCGTTGTAATAAACCCTAGGCAGCCAAGTTGATGGTGAATTAGACCAGGAAGAGTAGCTCATGAACATTTAAAAGGACTGACAAATGTTCCCCACCATGGGAAACCCTAACATTTTACAAAGTTTCTTTACATTGTAAATAATAATAAGAAGCAAGAACACAATAACAGCTTTCAATCGGAAGTCTAGTAATGGTATCTCATCATCTGAATCCCCCATCCCTGACCACCAAACAAAGGAGGGGGTGAGACCAACATCTGCAACGGGCACATTGAGCCCAAGAGGGCTTGAAAGGAGCCGAGAAAAAGCCGAAAAGGGTCCAGGCAGGCGAAGGCAGGCAGGGGAGCGCCGCCATTGGGACGCCATTGGGACGCGGCTGGCCCTCCTTCAAGGAACCTCAAGAGACCTACCTGGTGAGCTGGTCGGCCATCGGGTCGGCCATCCATCTGACGGTGCCGCCTGTGCCCGGTGCTGGGCTCTCCCGCTGCCGCCTGGGTTGTCTCCGGCTGCGGCCGGGACGCGGCTGGACGCGCCGCGGCCGCCATCTTGCCATCTTGCTGGCGCTGCTGTCTTGCAGCCGCCGGAGGAACCTGCGGCCGCGAGGGAGAGGCTGCTGGGGGAGGCTGCTGGAGGAGACCGTCGAGGAGAGAGGCGGCCTTTTTCTGCGCCGGGAGAGAGAGGCAGCCGGCAGCCGGGAACTGGAGAGGCAAGTAAAACGCCGAGGCCGCTTCCATCTGCGGCCCGGTGGGAGTGTTCCCCTCGGCAGCCAAGCCCCTCGGAGGTGCTGTTGTTGTACAGCCGCTGGAGTCGCCTGGAGGTGGGACTACCGTTTCCACCGCCTCCGTGGGACCGCGCCGCCGCCATTTGCCATCTGCGGCCTTGTCTCGGAAACAGCGGCCGGAGCCCAGAGGCGGAAGGGAGAGAGGAGAGGTAGAGCACCGAGGCCGCCTCCACCTGCGGCCTTGCAGAAGCGTCCCCTCTCAATAGTCAAGCCTCGCATCGGGGCTGCTGCCCGTGCTGCTGCCAGGGTCACCTGGGAGGTAAGGCGGCCGGTTCCGCCACCGCCACGGGACTACCCCCCCCCCCGACGCCATTACGGCCTGTCCTTAGGGCGGCTGCCGGAGCGTGGGGAGGAGAGACAGAGCTCCAAGGCCACCGCCACCTACGACCTCACGGCCCGTCGCTTCGGCTGATTTTCCCGGCCCTCCCTGGTTTTTTCCATCCTTCCAGTCCCGGCGTTTCCAGTCCCGGCATTCCAGCGTTCCATCTCTATCGTCCAGCAGTGCCTGCAACAAGGCTTGGCGCGTCCTGAACGACCTTTACCACCTTCTATCGTTCGGGCCTCTACCATCTAGGCAAGCCGTGTGCAGACCTTGTGTTGACCTTTGCTGTGTTGCTGTGTTGGCCGATATTATGTAGACCTTTTGTGCTGGCCTTTCCTTGTGTTGATAGATATTGTAATAGACCAATTGTGCTGACCACCGCCGTGTTGATCATCTCCGGAAGATTGAAGACCCATCCGCTTTTAGATCAACCGTCTAGAGATTACATTGTGAATCACAATAACCCTACCTAATTGTTATCATTGACATCTCCGTAATAGTGTGTTTACAAAGTATTAATCATAGTACGTTCCTTGATTGTCTTTCGCTGCTAAACTAATACAAGAACGCATTTAGCACTTTAAGGCGCCTGCCACTCGCTGCTAAACTACACTAGCACTTACGCCCCCTTCCATACCCTCTATGCCGCACTTTAGTTAACGTTGAGAACCAGCTTCGGGTATCTATTGCACTTTAAGATCTTGCACTTTATGAATTTACCCCAACGGCACGCAGTTGTTGTTGCTGACTGAGTCGTGTCATTGACTGTGCTGCACTTTAAGACTCTTGCACTTTACGAACTATCCAACTGGTGTGGCTGGAACGCCTATCACCATCTGAATCTATTGTTATCCATGTGGTTACCCATCCCCCTATTTGTACTGTCCCTGTTATTATTAACCAGTGGAAGGGGCAAGGGAGGAGGTGGGCTGGAACCTGTGAATAAAAATGAGGCGGGGAGGGGGGAGGAGAAGAAGCAAGGGAGTTGGCAGGGGCCAACAAACCAAACATCTAGCGAAACAGATATTAAGACCTTGGTTTGGGACTGCGGCATGGAGGGGGGGAGGTGTTCCACTAGCCGAGGGGCCCCCATAGAGGTCGTGGTGGGGAGGAGGAGATGCGGAAAAAGGAGACCTCGAATTCGGCCTAATTCGGACCACTTATCAACATTAATAATCCCAAATCGGTCTCCTAAGGTAAATTGGTGTAACCAGGTGAGCGGGCCCTCTGGATTGAAGGTGGTGCTGCTGAACGCCAGATCTGTCAACGGAAAAACGACCTATATCCAGGATCTAATCCTGGATGAGCGGGCAGATCTGGCGTGCATTACGGAGACCTGGTTGGATGAAGCTGGGGGCGTGAATCTCACCCAGCTTTGTCCTCCAGGTTTCTCCGTACAGCACCAACCGAGATCCGGAGGACGGGGAGGCGGGGTCGCAGTGGTCTATAGAGATTCCATCCATCTGACCAGGAGTCCCATCCCGCAGACCACAAATTTTGAATGTGTCCACCTGAGGGTGGGTGACCGGGACAGAATAGGGATTCTGCTAGTGTACCGTCCACCTCGCTGCACTACAGTCTCCCTACCTGAGCTAGCGGGGGTGGTCTCGAGCCTGGCATTGGAGTCTCAACGGCTTTTGGTGCTGGGAGACTTCAATGTCCATGCTGAGGCGACCCTCACAGGAGCGGCTCAGGACTTCATGTCCGCCATGGCAACCATGGGGCTGTCCCAACAAATATCTGGCCCCACCCATTGTGCTGGACACACATTGGACTTGGTTTTCTGCCAGGGATGGGAGCAGGGTGGCGGTGTGGAGGAGTTGTCTATCTCTCTGTTGCCATGGACTGACCACTTCCTGATCAGATTTAGGCTCACTGCACCCCCCAACCTCCGCAAAGGTGGAGGACCCATTAAGATGGTCCGCCCCAGGAGGCTTATGGATCCGAATGGATTCCTGACGGCTCTTGGGGATTTTCCCGCCTCCTCGGTAGGTGACCATGTCGAGGCCTTGGTCGCTCTCTGGAATGGGGAGATGACCAGGGCAATTGACATGATCGCTCCGGAACGTCCCCTCTCAAGTAGCCGAGCTAAACCAGCCCCTTGGTTTACTGAGGAGCTGGCAGTGATGAAGCGAAGGAAGAGGGAACTAGAGAGCGTGTGGCGTTCGGACCCAAGCGAGTCAAATCGAGCACGGTTTGTGTCCTTTTTAAGGGCATATGCCGCGGCAATAAAAGCCGCAAAGAAAACTTTCTTTGCGGCCACTATTGCGTCTGCAAAAACCGTCCGGCGGAGTTGTTTCGGATTGTCAGAGGTCTTTTAACTCCCGCCACCTCAGGCGGGAGCCCTGACAATTCGATCACACGCTGTGAAGCATTTGCTCGGTTCTTTGCAGACAAAGTCGCTTTGATCCGTTCTGAGCTGGACACCATGTTAAATGCAGTCTCTGTGGATGTGACACGAGCACCTGCTTGTCCTATTTTGTTGGATTCTTTTCAGTTTGTGAAACCCGAGGATGTGGACAAGATACTTGGAGGAATGAGGCCCACCACGTCCATCCTAGACCCCTGCCCATCCTGGCTTCTGAAGGAGGCCAGAGGGGGATTGGCTGAGTGGGTAACGGTGGTGGTTAATGCATCCCTTCGGGAAGGCACGATTCCAGCGAGCCTAAAACAGGCTATTATAAAACCGCTGTTGAAGAAACCATCATTGGACCCCACTAAATTGGACAACTTTCGGCCTGTTTCCAATCTCCCTTTTGGGCAAAGTCATGGAAAGCGTGGTGGCCTCACAACTCCAGGTATTCTTGAGAGACACGGATTATTTGGATCCGGCACAGTCTGGTTTCAGACCGGGACATGGTACCGAGACGGTCTTGGTCGCCTTAGTGGATGATCTGCGCCGGGAGCTAGACAGGGGGAGTGTGTCCCTGTTGGTGCTCCTGGACCTCTCAGCGGCCTTCGATACCGTCGACCACGGTATCCTTCTGGGGCGCCTTGCGGAAATGGGTCTTGGGGGCACTGCTCTGCAGTGGCTCCAGTCATTTCTGGAGGGTCGTACCCAGAAGGTGTTATTGGGGGACTCTTGTTCAACACCACAGCCTTTGACCTGTGGGGTTCCACAGGGTTCTATACTGTCCCCCATGCTGTTTAATATCTACATGAAGCCGCTGGGTGAGATCATCCGGAGTTTCGGGGTGCGGTGTCATCTGTACGCAGATTATGTCCAACTCTGTCACTCCTTTCCACCTGCTACTAAGGAGGCTGTCGAGGTCCTGAACCGGTGCTGGCCGCTGTGACGGTCTGGATGAGGGCGAACAAAACTGAAATTAAATCCAGACAAGACAGAGGTTCTCCTGGTCAGTCGCAAGGCCGAACAGGGTATAGGGTTACAGCCTGTGCTGGACGGGGTCGCACTCCCCTTGAAGGCGCAGGTTCGCAGTTTGGGTGTGACCCTGGATTCATCTTTGAGCCTGGATCCCCAGGTTTCATCGGTGACCAGGGGAGCATTTGCACAGCTTAGGCTGGTGCGCCAGCTGCGCCCGTACCTTGGGAAGTCTGATCTGGCCACGGTGGTACATGCGCTGGTCACATCCCGCCTTGACTACTGCAACGCTCTCTACGTGGGGCTGCCCTTGAAGACGGCCCGGAAGCTTCAGCTAGTTCAGCGCGCGGCAGCCATGCTACTAACAGGAGCGGGACGCAGGGAGCATACAACGCCCTTGTTGTCCCAGCTCCACTGGCTGCCGATCTGCTACCGGGCCCAATTTAAGGTGCTGGTGTTATCCTACAAAGCCCTAAACGGTTCCGGCCCAAAATACCTTTCGACCGCATCTCGGCCTATGAGCCCACGAGGGCCTTAAGATCTTCTGGGGAGGCCCTTCTCTCGATCCCGCCTGCCTCACAGGCACGTCTGGCGGGGACGAGAGAGAGGGCCTTCTCAGTGGTGGCCCCCCGGCTGTGGAACACCCTCCCTGTTGACATCCGACAGGCGCCCTCTCTTATGGCTTTCCGTAAGAGCCTGAAGACCTGGCTCTTCGAGAGGGCATTTAACTAAATGCCAGGCTAACTGATAATGACAATCGGAACGAAATATGGATTATGAGACTGGTAGGTCCCTATGTTGTGACGGTGCGGATTAGTTAGTATAATTTAGATTAATGTGTATTATGGTTTGTTGATATACTCTGTGTTTTTTGTAAACTGTTTTTATATGTTGTACACCGCCGCGAGGCGCCCTAGGGCTGAGAGCGGCGGTCAACAAATGCATTAAATAAATAAATAAATAATAAATAAATCTAATCCTCCTCCTCTCCATATGCTAATGAGCAAATATGAGTTTTCAGTTGTTTTTTGAAGAAGAAAAGGGGGGGGGCATCTTTATTTCTTTAGGGAGGGAGTTCCAAAGGTGAGGGTGATCATGGAGAAGGCCTTTCTTGTTTCCACCAGCCATGCTTGGGATGTGGGTGATTCTGAGAGCAGGGCCTACTCTGTACAGGTTGGTTTATAGGAGGAGGTGCAATTAATCAAATAGCCTGGACCCGAACTGTTTAGGGCTTTAAAGATAATGACCAGCACTTTGTATGTAGCCTGGAAGCAGACTGGAAGCCAGTGGAGGTGCCGTAATATGAGAGTGGTTCTTTCCCTGTATGGAGCTTCAGTTAGTAATCTGGCTGCCGATCTCTGAACCATTGAAGTTTCTGAAGTATCCTCAAAGGCAGCCCCATGTAGAGAGTACTGCAGTGGTCCAGGCGGGATGTAACTAAAGTGTGGACAACCATGGCCAAATCCGGCGTACCAAGGTATGGGCACAGCTGGTACACAAGTTTTAACTGTGTGAAGGCACTCCTGGCCATTGCTGACATCTGAGGCTCCAGGGTGAGTGATGAAACCAGGATCACCCCCAGGCTGTGAATCTGTGTCTTCAGGGGGAGTGTAACCCCGTCAAGCACAGGCAGTAACCCTATATCCTGATCTGCCTTCTAACTGACCAGGAGTACCTCTGTCTTGTCTGGATTTAATTTCAGCTTGTTAGCCCCCATTGTCTTGAGGACAACTCAAGTATAACATGTGAACTGGATCCAATTTTAAGTAAGATAACAGCCTACATTTTTATTATTTTCATTGCACAGGAGTGGACAGCTTAAACTATTTGCTCTTGTTCCATTTCAAACAAAGCAAAGATCATTCCCCAAATTAAAAGTATATTTAAAAGGAAGGTGTACATAGTTCTAAGATTTCTACTGTCATTTGAATCAAGCACTCCTAGTCATTAATGATACTCCCTTTTTATTCTGTTAAGGTTTTGTTTCCCTTCATTCTTCAGTCATTGCACAAGAATAATGCATTTAATGAGTTCCAAAATGTATTCAGCTGTCAATAAGTTCTTGCATTATAGGGACTAATTTCTAAGCTTCACACTACAAAGATTACAGAAGGTAAGATTAGCATGACAAGACAAATATTAGCAACACAAAACTTAGCAAAAAGAAAAGAAAAAGACAGAAAAAAATCAGCAACACATAAAACAAAGAAAAAAACATTGCTATTAGCTGAACAGGATGAAAGGAAAAGTTTCCGCCAGGCATAATGTGAGTGGAGTCTTAAGGAATATGAGAGGTCCCAGTAGCAGCTAATGGCATCCATGTCAGTGAGGTGGTGAGTTGGTTCCATGTTTTGGTCCACAACGAAAAAAAGCTATCAGAGGTCTCAATCTTTCCTTTTAATATTGTCTCTTCAAACATGCAAATGAATGCAGACTACAGCTGCAGGTAGAAAGGACTGCAGTCTGATAGGGTTAATCAGACCCATATCCTCAGTTTACTATGGTTGCATCAGACAACTAACCTTGCATTAAAGAAATGGGAATTACCAGTAATCAATAAAGATATTATCTTCTTTGAAATCTGAATCACTTAAAATACATAATATAGGATACGCATCTTCTTTTCCTCCATAATAAATGCTGAAGGTGGGGAGATCTCCTGTATTTCAAGATGCTTGACTTTTATCAAATTTTACTATAGACAGGAACTATTTGACTGTGAGTGAGTAGATGGATATGCTTGGCTTACATTTTGCAATGACTGGGTGCTATAAATTAAGGCTGATCTGCCACTACGTCTCCTAATGTCTATAGAACTCCAACTTTTATCAGACAGGTCCAACAGGGCTGGTGAAGAGTGATAACACTGAGGTCCAACCACATTTGGAGGGTGTCAGGCTGCCCTCTTTTGCTGTAAATGTGGAACACCACTTTAACTTAAAAACTGCAGTTTTTAAGTTAAAGACATCAAATAATTACAGGTCAATCACATGTACAAGGAAAATTAATTAATACATCTTTAGAGACTCTCAGGAGTACTCTTAAAATGCGTACCTGCAAGTACACTGACATGGAGCACCACACGATCAATTAACTGATTAAATCTGCATAAAATTGAAATGTTCTGATGGGTTTAAAAAGGCACACCTCTCAAGGACCATGCTCTAAAAAGTACACCTCTTTTGTCATTACTGCAATTTAGGAAGTTTATTCCCCTCACTCTCACTTTTTTTTAAGGTGATGGAAAATCCCATACAAGGAAGATGCCATTCAAGATATTTAGATGTTATTATTAGCCACGTACCTGTTCACTTTGTTCCCATTCTCCTTGTTGCCTGAGAGACGGAATTCCCCAGATGGTCAACTTTCCAGAGAAATGAATAGCTGCCAGACGAGTGCCATCGGGAGAAAGGCTCATCTTGAAGACACCATCCTATCAATAATTCAATTAGTGATTTTTAAAACATCAGAAAAAGTATTAACGTGATCAGTTCTTAGTCATATTTCCTTCCACAGTCAACGCATTGTCCTATTTCTTGGTTTCCTTTTATAATTCTTTCACTTGTTATAAACATCTGAGATGCTTTTTCATATTTTACAAGTTTAATACCATTATTGGTCTACTGGTCACTAACTGTAAATAAAGATATTGGTAATACCAACAGCTCCAAAGATTAACCAGACAATCCTATGCATTTCTACTCAAATAAATGACCCACTATGTTCTGTGAGGTTTGGTTTAAGTTAAGAACGCATAGAGATCTGCACTTCAATCTCCTTATAGATTGCAAATTCCAAGGAACCTACTGTAACACAACCAATTCTACCACAGCTCAAAAATGTGCACAGTTGGTGGTAGTTCTTCTGGGAGTGTTATGACTGCAGGCATTCCTACAGTAATATTGTAACATGTAGTTACAATCAAGTAATAATTTTCAGAGGTCCAGTTTCTGATCCTCAAGGTCATCTAAATGATTAGTGTCAAGGACTACTCCTCTGAATTCTCCATGAATTTCAGGGAAATTTGGCGATGGAGACATATCTCTTCACAGAGGGCACATTCAGAGACACAATAACAAGTCAATACTTCTTTATGAAAAGCTCAAAAAGCCACAGACCTCAATACATCTGAACCTCACAGTGTGTCAAGTTTCTTTCCCCACAGAAAACTAGAGAAATAAACTAGGAACAAATTGTGTGTTATTTTTATGACTGGTCGATACATTATAAGAACCAACACACTCAGAGGATGAAGGGGAAACAAGAAGCCAATTGATCAACTCTGTGTAAGGATCACTCAACTGTCCCATAGAAGTTTTATGGACAACTTTAAGACTGTCTGGAGTAAATAGGCCACAAAGAAAGATACTATTCCCAACTAAGGCTTCTTGAAAGCCATGTTCCATCAGTAATTAGCTAAGATAGTATAGGAAAAGGTTGGGATAACTAAAAAGCCTTTATTTTATCCAACTTTTCTGCATTATAAAATAGGAAATCATTTAACTATATAACTATAAAATTAAAAATGCACCCTCTCCCCATAAAAATGACTCCTTACACCAGATAATTATTAAATGCCTATCTGAATCGAAAAGTGTTTGCCTGCTAGCAAAAGGGAAAACTAAGAACAGGTAGCCTAGCTTCCTCTGGAAGGGAATTCCATGGACTGGGTGTAACTACTGAGAAGACTCTCCTGTGTCCTCACAAGACAAGGCTACAATGATGATGTGACCCAAGGAAAGCCTTCCCCAAAGGAATGAAGATACTGGCAGGTTCAAAATGGCAGTTGATCTTTCAGATAGTCTGGACCTAAGTATTTCGCAGGTTAAAGTTGTTTATGAAGACAACATCCGTGGGCATCCCATGATTAATGAAAAATATACAGTAAGAATATTTATCTCATCAGAATCTGTCTTTACCATGAAATGCCATTTCATTTTCTTGCTAAAACTGGATAGATAAAATACTGTTAAAAATCCCTATAAATATATATAGCATGTGTGTGGGTGGCTGAGTAACTCTGCTTCAGAGCTATTGCTTTTGTCATGGGATGTGCTCGTTTACTTTCTGCTGGGCCATTAAGAAGAAGCTGCAGCAAGCAAATAATTGATCAACATGGCAGCCAACTTTGGAAGTAGCATGTGGTTCTATGTCGCCAACTCCATTACATTATATAAAAGTTGCCAAGCACAATTATTGAAAACTTTAGAGCCAGGTGACAGTACTCAACTCAGTTCTGGGTGCCTGACAGCTGGAAAGTAAACTGGGCAATGGCTAACAGAATCCAGACAAGACAGAAATGACAGTGATCGGAGATACTTCAATTCAACTGTCCAATATTGATGAAATCCACCCTCTAGTAATTCAGTAGGAATATAACCTAAGGGCATATTCCTTGTTGTTGAACTTTTAGCATCTGCCACAACCAACGACACATCATTAGACAGTAAAGTGGCTCCCTTAGAGACACAGAAGCTTGGTAATCATCCTTGTTCTTGAAATTACAGGCAGAGGATGCCATAAGATATTCTATGCAGAGACTGCTCTTGACACTTGTCTGGATTCAGTCAAGATACATTAATGACATACGCGCTCCCTCGATTACCTCTTCTCTTCCTTGCCTGCTGTAAAATTTGAGATTCATAATCTTGAACAACGAACTTCTCTTGGCCTGTTGAAAACAAAATCATATCAAAAATTCACTTGTAATATGTTTTCTTCATGATAAGGAGCTAAAACAAACCATGGAGATGACAAATAAAACAGCAAAGTTTTGTTTTCTTGAAAAGGTGTGAAGACGTCAATACTTTTCTAAGTTATATATGCAAGAATTCTAGATGCAGCTTTCAAATGGTCATATGCCACTTTTGAGAGGGGACAATTATTATTGTCTTCCACTGTTCTTAAGCCCACCCACCCACACTGATTCTTCTCATTTCTTCCTTAATACAGAAAATCCATTATGGAGAAGGAAGAAGAAATACACAATGCTTTCTTATCTCTAGTGCTTGGGAGCCCCTGGTGGCACAATGGGTGAAACCTTTGTGCCAGCAGGACTGTTGACCAAAAGGTTGGCGGTTCAATCCATGGAGCGGGGTGAGCTCCCATATGTCAGCTCCAGCTTCTTATGCAAGGACATGAGAGAAGCCTCACACAGGAAGGTAAAACATCAAACATCCGGGCATCCCCTGGGCAACGTCCTTGCAAACAGCCAATTCTCTCCAATCAGAAGCAACTTGCAGTTTCCCAAGTCGCTGCTAACACGAGGGAAAAAAACTAATGCTAAGAGTCCTCCAACTGCAAACACAGTGTTTCCCCCAAAAATTTACACACCCTTAATACCCTATAATTTGAGGGAGCAAATCTTTGCCATCTCCATGTACAGTCACTCTGCATTCACTGGTTAGGACCACCATGAAAGTGAAAAATTGTGGATAAATTGCTTTTTTCAATGTGAGAGAATACCTCTCTAGGAATTTCTTGGTCTTACAATATAACTACATCTCTTTGGTCAATTTTCATAGGAAGCTGGTCGTAGTAATGGATTGGAGGACCTAGAAATTCATAGTGATTTATCTACAAATCTCTAGTTCCTCCAGCATGACTGGGAGAAGTTAACCACAGAAGCATACTGGAAGGCTAACAAATTATTGGAGAGAATATTTTAAATCAAATCACTGAACAATCACATCCAAGTCAAAACCACAAATGCCGATGGACAACTGTATACATCCATAACAGGATTAAAGATTACAATAGTAAGGAAGTGTCGTGAAACTACAAAAGAAACTTTTCACAATGCAAGCAATGCATTGATGTGCAAGAATGACAATTTGAACACCTTATACAATATTATAACTTAAGATGAAATTTGTAACTTTGATTAAATAAACATTATAACATTTATTTTGCAATATAAATGGATTTGCTTAGCCTTCACATAATCCCTTAAGCTACGACTAGCTATTATAAGATGTATAAGCTTTTGGGGAACACCTTGTATAAGTCCTTCTTAATACTTTCTGGCATCATATAACAACTAAAACCCCATATTGATCATTTTCATTAATCTATTCCATCTGAGCTAAGAAAAAAGGTACCGTATATTCCGGCATATAAGACGACTGGGCGTATAAGACGACCCCCAACTTTTCCAGTTAAAATATAGAGTTAAGACAACTCCCATGCATAAGACTACACCCGGGTATAAGACGACCCCTGACTTTTGAGAAGATTTTCTTGGGTTAAAAAGTAGTCTTATACGCCAGAATATACTGTAAGTACTTTGGGGAAAAATTGAGAGGTAATCAACTATGTCAACAGGAATTTTTATGTCTTGACATATGAAGTATTTCTCCTCTACTAGGTGCAACTCTTCCAGTTTATGTTTGGGTGATTGCCATAAAGACAAATCAAAATCTTTCAGTTCTGTCATGCCTATAGTAAACTTACCGAACACTGAAAGTTGACCATGTCGCATACAAGGCTCTAGAGCAGCGGTTCTCAACCTGTGGGTCCCCAGATGTTTTGGCCTTCAACTCCTAGAAATCCTAACAGCTGGCAAACTGGATGGGATTTCTGAGAGTTGTAGGCCAAAACACAGGGGGATCTACAGGTTGAGAACCACTGCCCTAGAGATTTCTAAAGAGAACATTTTAATCAAATCTATGAATAATCAAAACTGCTAAAATGTGGAGGAATTATTCCAATATACCTTTTCAGGTGAAACAAAAATGTTCAAAAAGTATCCCAAAACTGTGGGTAGCATCAATATTTATCACATGTCACAACACTCTTTCTCTGTTTGTAAAGATGGACTCTTCATTTCACACTGACACAGAATGAATGTCTTCCAACTGGTCATGAGATATGCTGCACAACCTTTGTGTCTGTGACATCTGGAAGATCTATCCATATAAGCATCAACAACAGAAGTACTGAAGTCATGCCAGATGGACAGGAAGGATATGTTGGCAATCACAACCTGTTTGATCAAATCTGGGGACTTGTAACTGTATGTAACATGACTTTTGTTCCTAGGTTATTGTAAGGAAGCGTAATCCCACCTAAATGGGATTACCAAAATTACGTAAATATGTATGTTAATCCACCTAATTTCAGCATAAATTATAAGGAAGTCCCAAAACTGCTTGATTACACCGCCACCATTATATATAGAGACGTTGGAATTGAAGTCTCTGTTTATCCCTATCTGCGTTGTGAGGCAACTTTGGTAGAGTGGATTGCACCAAATGTAAAATCAATGGAGGAGGCAGATTTATAACACAGAGAGAACAAGTTTATTGTTAACAGAGCGTAATTGTTGCAATATTAAGATGTTGAACTTGGCACAAGCTTGATGGTTACAATATGGCTTGGTTGAGATACATTCAGGCTTCTGATGTTACAATCCTTTAAAACTCTTTCTTCAGTGAAGTGCTTTATTATTTCAGTGTTCCCTGTTATGAATATTCACTCTGTTTGTCCTATACCGGATCAAACCACCGATCTCCAGTCTTTCACTACTGGGATCCCTAAAACCCCCTTTGTTAGATTCTTTTTAACACAAGCAATCAAACAAGGTTTCACCTTCAGCTCCCTTGCTGAAGAAATATTCACAAATGCTAAGAACTAACTGAATCTATACTGCTTCACCACACAGAGCCCTAACTGACTCCGCTCCTCTTCTCAGGGTCTCATCCTCCTGACTGACTATTAACTGTTACTTTCAAACCTTTTTCTCCTTAAGCTCCGCCCACCTTCTCTTCTGCCTTGTCACCATGGCAACCTATCTCTCACAGCTAGGCCATGGCCACCCATGTAAAACATAAATACAGTTTAAACACAGTACAATAAACCCTTTATAATAAACACTTCTCTACAGTTATAAATGTCATTTCTTAATTGGTTCTATCATAAAAACGTGGAAAAATTATATTAAACTTCTGCACATTTTTCTATAGTTTTCCAATAATATCTCATAGAGTCGAACCAGAAACTTTTTTTTTCAGATTTCAGATTTTGTGAAATAATGACACAAACATGCGGGACACAGCGGATACAATTCATTGGGCAAAGAAAATAAATATCAACTCTAAAACACAGGTTTTTCATTTTAAAAGCCCAGATAGTTTCACTGACATTATCCTATAAACTATCTATACACATTCAAATGTTACTTACGGTTCCAATATCATCTTCATAACTTGTAACCTGCTTGTAATAGGGTGATCCCGAAAGAACCCTCCACGCTGACAAACCACAACTGCTCGCTTTAGAAAGTCCGGCTCCATCACCATCGGTTTCACATCCGCCTATAATCAAAAGCCTGTCCCAAAAAGTTAACACACAATTTAGTCTTCAATTCTCAAAATCGACTTTGTAATATTTTTCCCTATCAGTGGTAATTTGACAACTACTGAATTATTTATATCACAGCATTTGTGCCATTTGAGCTTCCCAATTTCATATTTCCAATTTCAAACTGTAATTCTGGGCAGAGGGAAGATATTATTACTATTTTTATTTTATTTTTAAAGTATCAAAGGTTGCAATCCTAGCAGACTACCTTTCAAAGTAAACACATATTATGAAGTTTGTTAGTTTTCACAGAATTCATCTTTAATTTAAAAGGATACGTGATAAGAAGGTATGATATTATTTTACCCAAAGACAACCACGAAATAAAATACTGTATTATTCATCGAGATTTGTTTTTTTCAGTTGGAAACATATCACCATCTAGTGGTTAAGATATATATAGGAACGGTTCGTGTATTTTGCTAAAATGACTAAAGAACAAATTGAACCAACAAGCCTCTTCTTTTGAATCCCACAAACTCAAGAAGCCAATATAAAATCAAACCAAATTCACTTGGAAAAAATCATCTTTTCAGAGTGCTCTGGTTACTGGGCTGTCTATGACATCAATGAGATATAAGGAAGCAATCCTATGGACACTTACATAGAACCAAATCTCAGTGAGTTGTTGTGAGTTTTCCGGGCTGTACGGCCATGTTCCAGAAGTATTCTCTCCTGACGTTTCACCCACATTTGAGGCAGGCATCCTCAGAGGTTGTGAGGTCTGCTGAAAACTAGGCAAACGAGGTTTATATATCTGTGGAATGTCCAGAACTCCCTGTTGGAGCTAGGTATGAATGTTTCAACTGATGACCTTGATTAGCAATGAATAGCCTTGCAGCTTTCAAGCCTGGCTGCTTCCTGCCTGGGGGAATCCTTTGTTGGACGGTATTAGCTGGCCCTGATAGCTTTTTGTCTGGATCTCCCCTATGTTATAAGTGTTGTTCTTTATTTGCTCTCTTGATTTTAGAAATTTTAAAGGATTCCCCCAGGCAGGAATACAGCCATACAGTGCGGAAAACTCACAGGAACCCAGTGATTCCGGCCATTAAAGCGTTCAACAACAAATCTCACTGACTTTCAGTATTACCATGCAACATAAAATCTATACAAAAACATTTAGACATTATTTGGATTTGAAGATTACTTTTCTTCCGAATTACTGAAATATTTCAAAATGCAAAATGGTAGACACAAAGGAATGAGCAAAATTCTCACCCTCACAAACTCTTGGGATTTATACAGAATATGTATAAAGTCCAGCTACCACAGTCATTGGTGAAGATGCAGGGATATTTTGCATCCCTAAATTAAAGTATTTGGTGAAGAGGTTTGCTTTTTTGGGAGAGGAGAAATATTTATATTTCTTTAAAACATTCCAGAAGATCAATTGTGAAGAAATCCACCCATAATTCATGAAACCAAATGATGAATTAATTTGTGCTAATTAAAGAAGACTTAAAGGACAATACTGTTATATATGGGTACCCTGAAATTGTTTTTGGATTTGCCAAGATGCGCAGTTCAAGAACCACTACATGTACCAAAAGTAAAGATTGCATATATCATGACAGGGAGGGGGAAATCAGGAAAGCATTACATCCCAGGTAATATCCTATTCTCACACTCATTCAGATTTCATCCATAATACAGAGCCACAGCTGGTTCACAAGAACTGTAAGATAAGGATAATAGTAAAGAAGAAGAAAACCCATCTCAAATCAGAGATGTTAGAGAAAGCAATCAGAATTAGAAGAGAAAGCAATAAGGGAAAAACAGAGGTGTCATTTCTTCAGTGTATGTGTGTAATAATTTAATTTCTGAGCAGCTACAGCACAGCATCTAATTGAGCTTCTATTTCGAATTTCTTTATATTGACTTGTATAGTAAAATTAAAGGAATATCCGGGCAGGGTGGACACCACGATCACACCTCTGCCCTTGGATATAGCGGAGATCAAAGGCTGATCCTAAGTGACCGAATCACTTGGTAGTATTTGCCGCCACCACCTCAGAAAATGCTGGCCTGAGGAACCAAAAGGGTGTGAATGTATTTTAGGTAAAGGGTGTTTGAGCTCTTGGGCTTCTATGGCTTCCTCCCTAGCTGACTGGAGTGTAAAAATGTGTTGAAAGAATGAGTACTGAGGCAACGAATGGATTGAGGCATACACCAGTTAAAAGTAAACTAATAAAGAGTTTATTTTAAACTTGATATTAACAACAACTCATTGGAAATGAGTGGCACATAAAGCGTAATTCAGTTACATAGGCTTAGCTGTTTAGACAGTTTTCCCTAAGAATGTAGCTTTGGGTTTCTGTGAGTCTCTTTTAACTATACTGTTCAACTTCCTTTTGAAACAGTATAATCACTGAGAACAGACTCTCCTGTCTCACAGAGTAATTAGTCCTCAACTAATACTCTCCTCAGAGCAATAAGCATCAAGTGAACAAGTCTTCTTTACTGACACTCTGTACAGTAAACTTCAAGCCTTTTGTCCCTATCTTATTCTCTCTGACTAAAAGACTCACTCCCAAAAGCTCACTTTCTCCTGTCTAAATTCTCCTCAGCTCTCCAGCCTAAAAATCCATCTACCCTCTTCACTCTTAAAATCCCTTCTCCCCTCTCTGTCAAAACTCGACAGCTGCTTTCCCTCTCTAAGCTGACTCCACCCCCAATTGCTACACCCAATCAGGAGTCAACCTGACTCCTCCTCCTGCTCTCTTGAATACCAAGATGCCAGACACTGCTATGCAGGCTACGGCCTAGCCGACTAAAAGGTAGATCTATCACATACCTCCCTACCTTAAGACCTTTCTGTAAGATTTCAGATTTCTAATCTAAAGCTGCAAGAAAGGGTTCTCATGAAGAGAGCTCATTCTTAACTAACTCCCTCTTCTTGCACCTAACTAACCTAACCTAAACCTAATCTAATCTAAGGCAAGGGCATCCTGACTATCTACCCATCCTGCATGCTACCTAACCTATCTAAACATCCTATCTAACATACCTAAACATTTCTATCTAACAGGTTCACTACCTTACTAACATTACATTGCATATTAAATCACAATTGCAAATAATACATTTATATTATGCATTCTATCTATGCAATCCTGCAATGCAAATAATACAGTCAATACATTTATACATACCTGTAAGAGAAAACATGTTAGATATAATACATTATACAATACCTTATATCACACAATACACTCTATAAATGCAATTATCTATACCATTATACCAATACCTGTATAATTATTCTCTATCACTGCATTTAATACCATCTATGTACATTCAAGGTATTGCTCTAACCTGCAAATAAATGTTTTAAGTGCAAATAATCATTTTGTATTATCAACAAAGAAGCTTTCTAAAGCTATCCTGGGGTTTACTCTTGGTTTTCTGGCACATTCAAATTTTAAACTGGGAACCAACTTTGGCATGGCAAATATAAAGGGTCTAAACCTTGTACTACTTCACCCAATGTCACAAATTCTTCCCTTGGCTCTTAACTTAGAATTACCAATGGCCAATTCCAACCCCATACTCCTATCTTTAGATGTTTCCTCCCAGGATGGAGCCGAGACAGTGTCATCTCCGTATAACACTCTCTGGACCTTACGCACCAGCTCCACCTGCTGTCGTTCTTCAATATTACAATCTTCCAATTTTCCCTCCAAATTTGACAAACAACCAACTGAACACACTCTCCCCCATTTAGACAGAGTCCCATTCCCCTCAGTCACTGGAGAAATTTTTCCTACAACCTTGGTTCCGTGGGAATTTGGTTCTCCGGGCAATGTCCAATGTCCTGAGCACAATGTCTCACAGCTTAACCTTAGTCCTGCTGGTACTGGACCAAAGGTATCAAACATTGTCCCTCTTTGATGTCGTGAGGGCTTCTCCTCCGCTGTCCTCCGACTTGGATGGATGACTCGCTGGTCTCCTCGAGGGACGACCTCCCTCCTCTCCAGATGACCACGAGACCGCTCCACCTCGCTCTCGCTCACCAGCAGTTGCTCCTTTTCGAACACTGAGGCGATCTCCGATCTCACCGGGCTGTTGACCACCGCCTCTCTCCTTCCTTCTCTCTCCTGCACCGTCTGCTTGGATGTTGAGGCAGTCGCGGACCTCTCTGGGCCGCTGGCCGCTGCCTCTCTCCTCCTCTCTCCCTCCTGCACCGTCTGCTTTAATGCTGAGGCGATTTCAGACCTCGCAGGGCTGCTGACCATCAGCTTTCTCCTTCTTCCTCTCTCCTGCACCATCTTCTGTAACGTTGAGGTAGCTTTAGATACTTTTGGGCCGCTGACCGTTCCCCTTCCGGCTTCGCTGGAACACACGTTCGGCTTCTCGGAGACTAACTCAACTGTGTTTCTGGTTGCTGGCTTTTCGGCTTCCCTGGCCACCATGACGGGCCCCTTGGTCACCCACGGTGCCATTCTCTCGACCACGCCATCCAGCCTAGGGTCAGCTCCATCACATTTGTCTCCCTCATCTTCCTGGACCACCTTCCCGGCTACCGCAGCTAGCCTTGTGGCTCCTCTGATGACAGACAAACAGCTTGGAGTCCCTGGCTGAACTTTCTGGTGCCAGTCTGCCGCCTTCGCCACAACCTCCTTGGCACTGTTAATGTCTCTTCTATGCCTTAAATGTGTCTCCACTGCCAAAACTGGGTCTGAGCCACACTCCAGACCTCCTGCGCTTTTTACGGTCATATCTGCTTCAGTGACAAGACCCTGATCTACTGTCTGTCTTGTCACAGGCCCCTTGTCTTCTCCAAGCTGTTCTTTTACTGCCTCATTCAGGGCTTCTCTTGATCTCACTACTTTCACTAGTTTAATCCCTCTGGTGTTATAGATGGCAGGTTTTTTCTCTGTGGGTCTGGCATTTTGGGACACAGCCATTTCCCACAGGGTCTTTAAATCTTCAGCACGTCGCTGTTCCCTCAGAAACTCAGCTGGCTGA